ATTTAAAGATAATAAGTCGCAATACCACTTGGCAATCTGCAATTAACTTCGTAATTATCATTCTTAACTTTTATTTGAATGTCTTCTTTTGTCTTAGATCTGTTTAATTAAAGTAAACATCACCTTTATGATGGTTGCAGACCCATACCATCTATCGTTAGTTATGCATAGAACCCCTCCCTAAGAATGCTGTATTTATTATTTTTAATTAAAAGGGGATTGATACCTGCTGCGATATGAACGAACATTTTTACGAAGTTGTGCCATTCAAGAATATTTCGTAAACTAATTAATGGTATCACTTACCATTGCTAAAAATAATTTTATTACTTATTAGTAATTTTACTCACCACGCACATGATACTAAGTTTTAGCAGAAAGGATATGGATAGATTTAAGCTATTTGGCTAACATTGTCAAGAATGCATGATGCGTTAAAATCATTCCTGTAGAGTTATAGTACTACAATCGATCGGTTGATATCTCAGCAATGTATCATAAACATTTTGCTGGCAGAAACTAATTTTTGAAGCTTAAATAGCCAAACTAACTAAGTAGAATACATTATATTAGCAATACTCATACAATTTTTTCTTATAAATATTATGGGGACGCTTTCTTGCGACGACAAAAATTGTAATGATGTAGTGCTAAACAGTAGCTAGAAATTTTTTAATGTCATCATAGTAATACTTTATAATGTACTATGCCTAAATCTTGATTTAAGGATAAAAATATCGAAGTAGCCTTAAGAGATTCATCGAAAATAGATAATTATGTATTGAAGTAATTTTAAAAATTTCGCTTATCGATTATGAACAAGTTTGCTTACCGTTATTGAATAGGATTTTTTGACGACTAGATGCATGGATTGAATACGAAGATTTAAGTTCAGATATTTTTATGAGGGGTTGTACTCTATAATGAGATTTTTTTATCTATCGTATTACCCTCAATATTGCAAAATTTTGCATTATGTTAATTGATTATTTTAATTACCAGTAACGAATGTAAGAATAGCAAACCATGTGTTTATTTACTCAATTTTATAGTTATTGTAATTTTTAATTATTTTTAATTGTTATGATCGAAAATTAAAAAATAAATAAATACATTATAATGGTTTTAAGCTATTAAATGTTATGAACAGGAGAACAATGGAGTGACCTATTGCTTTTAATGAACTAACTTGCAGGTAATCGCTTAATTAATATGCACTGAGCAGAGCTGCAAAACTGGGTAAGGGTTTTGACTGGAGAAAAGCTTTATGAATAACGTTTGTATGAATAACTAATATAACCTCAAATCATAATGGATACTATTTGATTACCATTATTATGTGTGTAGGTACAAATAATACACGCTGTAGCTTGCAAGATGCTATAATATTGCTCCAATGTAACATCATATATGTACTTTGATTAATGCAAATGTTACTTTATATCATTGTATCCTCATTATAAAGTAATTTAATTAATTTGGCAATTGCTGACACCCATGCTCATGCAGCAGCATAATCTGAAGAAGATCAGTAGGCTTAGCAGAGCTTATAAAGTCTAGCTATGGATAGCATTGTGTATGCATATGCAATAATATTCTATGCATGCCAGATACTAGAGGAAGTCGGTGCGAGGATATGGTTGTATAATGTATATTGGCGTATATATAAAACAGTTTGAATTACATCATGAGACTTACTTGTGATAAGCCGTGGATTCAGTGGTATAGCTGAAACTGCAGGTACGTTGAGCAATTTTTGATTTGATGTCTTCACCATTGCTTTCTATTTACGCAACGATTTAATTTCCTATTTATTTAAACTTCAGCTACTTAAAAAGAGCCCAATAGCCTGCTTTTAAAAATTTAATGATAATAAATTAGTAGTAACACTCCTGTTAACGACATACTGAAGGAATTTATTGACGAACTAATTATGTTATAATTTCCTTCTAAAGGGTTTATATCTGATGATCTAAAAAACAAAAGTTATCCTTAGTTCCGTCTTATTCTACGCTTAAAGTATTACAGGTAATCATAATAGCCGTAACACTCAGTCCAGTGATGCCACTATTAATCTTATTTTGTAATACGTGAGCGTATATGTAAACTGACAAAATTTTATAACAATAATAGGTTGTTCCTGACCTTAAAAGTGACTACTATCAAAATATTATACTAAACGGTATCCGTAAGCGTGAAAGTTACGTCGCCTGGTACGATTAACCTATCAAGGTTATTATCATCGGGCTAAAATGTAAAGCAATTTTTAATTATTTTTAATTTGAATGATTTTATTTTTTACGCCTTGCTTTATTAATTTAATAATTTTATTGCAAAAGTCGTTACTGCGACAGTAATTTTCATTTATAACTGTAATAAATGCGCCTCAGAATAACTATCTAGTCAAATGGTATTTTTTAAAAGGCTTTTATTACAAGGTTTTAGGAATAGTAGAGCAATAATTAACTACTACAAAAATCCAGTCCAAAATCTAAAGTATTCCGAGCTCAAAGCGAAGTGAAATCTCTTCTCTCCTATGAGCTCATCTCCGCAGTTCTTATAAACATTTCGTTAAATCCATTTATGACAACTTGATTAATCTACAATCAGACATGAGTCATCAAACCAAATACTTTTCTCTTATAGTATATCATTCTTTTCTACAATCTAAATCATTCTACTTAAGATATCACTACTCTTCTGTTAACGTCTAGGCCCTTTCTCCGAAGGGTATCTTAACAACTACAGCGTTTCTAACTGCATAAATCTTAAACCATAATTACTCAACTGGCTACTATTAGTCATCAACAATTTCTAATATAGTAGTTAGTAATAACCTAATATTAGCTTCACGGGTAATATCTATTCAAAGCAACTAACTATATCAAATATAGCTATCCGTATAATCAAATATGGGTGCATTACTACAATAGCGTGGACATTATGTCCTTGCTGTATTCGCATACATATATCGTATGATAAGCACGCACATAGAGAGATTTTTACCTAGATGTCAGTTGGGTGAATTTTAGTGTCTCAAATTTTCTTGACAGTTTAGTGAGCTGTTTCTCTGTGCTATTCAATTACAATTCATCAAATCCTTCCATTAATTTGATCAGATCGAGCTTGTACCAAAACCAATACAACATGATTCTAATATTGAGTACATATCATGGTGCAGGCAGATTAAACTTAAGATTTCTATGGCGATATTCACTTCATGGAATTTTTTCCTCTTCGGTAATACCACACGATTCTTTTTCGGATCTACATGTATCGCGTTGGAGTTTGCATATTGCACATCTGAACTAGTACAACGTATATTAACTTACGGTAGAGACCTAAATGAAGCGGTCAGTAAAGCCTTACTTCAAGTTTGCCTGCTTATTGATATAATCATCATCGGTAACGATTACTGTATGCATGTGTTTTAGTGCCTGCGAATAGTTATTGATAAATAATTAATTAATCAAGCGTCTTTTCATCACTAATTGATTAAAGTTGGTCATAGATTTTGTGATTTGTTTTAATCGCCTTACTCATACGTAAATGTGCATGCATGCAAGATACTTTAAAAATCGGTAAATTCATAGGTAATAATCATTAACTAGTTAAATTAACGGGAAATGTTCTATTGACTTTCCGTAAAAGATTTAATCAATACGGCTTACCGTAATGGCCAGCTTTTTATGGAAAAGGAAACTTTTCAATGTGACAACATTGCAAGTACTTCTGGTATGTATTGTATAGCTATAAAAGATATATTTTTGTTTGTTGCTAGTGTAATGCAGGCTTGAAAAAAATTTCCGGCCTAAAGTACTAATACACGCGTGTTATTTATTTATTTACACTTTACAGGTGATTGTTGCGTTTATATCATTTATTACAACGTCAAACGGTAAGTACTGTATAGCCTGCACAATATACAGGATCTAAGTATCACAAAATACAATGGTTAAAATCATAATAATACATGTATTCTGGTTAATTACTGCAATTACTATTAATTAATAACGAGAACATCAGTAATCTTCTAACAGTAGGAGATTAAGCAAGTATTGATGGCTAAACGTTTAATTCTAGTGCAGCATACGAATATATGATAGATTTCTGCGTTTTTACTGTTGAGGGTGTGAATTTGATTGTCGTATTTCAATGCAGTCCTTCTCGAGGCACGTATACTGTAGATAAATATAGTAGTTAATGGCACGTGCCGACTAACAGCAGGTGGCCTTACCTGTTCTTGATATCCCGATTATACAGGACAGGATTGCGATCAAGGTTAACCACTCTCTTATCTTCACCATTTTATTTTCTAGTCTCGTTAAATTAAATAATCCATGTTGTACAACTTCTGGTTTCATACTAATGCTGCAAACTGCGAAATATGTTCTTGCTGCTATTACTATTTTGTTCAAGTTTGTAGCGGCACAGTGTGTCAAGCGACCTTGAGAGTTATGTAATGCCATTCTTATTAAAGTACTAATATTAAAATTTGTGTGTGATAAAAAGTCAGGAACTTACTGCAAACATGCTGTAAGATTTAGTCATTAGCCTAATCCACACCTAAGTAAGAGATAACTATAATAACATAGACATAGAAATCAGTGGCTCAGTTTTACAAGTAACGCGTTTGTTGGCTTTGCTATTCGCGAGTTTTAGTCAAGTTACGATCGTGTAGTATATTAATTAATTATACAGTTCTATACTTGTATTTTACTCAGTTTTTTTAAGTCAAGGGGTTATACTGTGTTGCGGAACATCCGACTAGGAATGTGTTGAGTGCATAGCAAAGCAAAAGTAGCCTTTTCTATATGTGGCGCTCTTTGTGACTACAGAAATTTTCGGTTCAGGGAGTAATTAATACTGAACCTAGAAGTGGAGGATTACTGAAAGCTCAAAGCTCGACTACGACAGCTTTCATCATTTGCAAGTACCGTACTATATTTCACTTAACATGTTCTCTCTCTCTCTCTCTCTATTATTGTATAGCTTTAGTAGACTATTGCATTTCCAAACCGTGCGCCAATAATGGGACCTGTATTAATAACAGCAACGGATATAATTGTACGTGTATGACGGAATGGACTGGGTTTAATTGTTCAGATGGTAAGTCACGCTATTTATTTCTGCATAAACCTATCATGTGTTGCTATCTTATTCTACTTTGAAGTATTAGAGGCAGTAGAGGTCCATGTATCCTACTATATTACATCATTTGGATCGGTTTCTCGCATATAACTCTACTTTATCAATCAAAACAGAACATTGATAAATCTATCTGTTTATAATCTATAGTCTTAATAGACCATTGCATTTCAAAGCCTTGTGCCAATAGTGGGATCTGCATTAACGACGGTAACGGTTATAATTGTACCTGTATGACAGGATGGACAGGACTAAATTGTTCGGAAGGTAACTATTGGCAGTTTTGCTAAAGGGCATAATCAATCCGCACTGCCTGATTATGACACTTTATTTCGCTTTCAATGATTGGAGGTGATATACTCTGTAATCTACTATATGGTAGCATTTTGAATTGATCTCTTTTTAACTATCGGTATTGTAGCTGTGAACTATTGTGGTTCCAATCCGTGTAATATCAATGGATCGTGTATTAGCAACAATAACGGATATAATTGTACTTGCATGTCCGGATGGACGGGTATCAATTGTTCAAATGGTAAATCATATTCTATTTTTATCTAGTATGTATTCTTGTACCAGTACTATGGCATTTTATTAGAAACTATAACACGTTTAAATTTATAGTTTGGTCGTAATAGTAGGTATAAACGGTGGCTCTAATAGATTACTTCTTATTAAATTTAATAATTGGAAATTCTTAATATAATGACAGCTTTCGTATGTACCAGCCGACATGATATACAGTATTCAACTGAACTGTAATTGCCTACGTTACTCCAATATTAACTAAAATAATGCAATAATTGAATCAGGAATGCTGTATTTATTTGATAAATAGGGATTACCGATTACTGTAATCCTAACCCATGTCGTAATAGAACTTAAAAAGTTAAAAGCGAAGATTGTTAGGCTTTACTGTATAAGAACGTTACAATAGAATAATCGATTTGTTGGACGTCTTAGTAAAACGGTAGCTTGACTATCAAGACATAGCTACCATACTTATACGTTTACTTATACGTTTTACGTCGATGCGATAGGCATCCGAAGTGGAATATTGGAAGATTAATGTAAATTTTAAAAATCATGTTTTTACGTACTTTCGCTATACAAGAATATTACATATGCGGGGCCGGATGTACTACTGATGTTGTATATAAATGGCGACAATGCCACTGTTATACTTCATAGCCCAGTTCAATATTAAATGTAATTTAAATATATTTTAAACTTAGAAATTATAGATTATTGCGATTCAAATCCATGCAATAATGGTACCTGCTTTAGTAATAGCAATGGATTTAATTGCACCTGTATGCCTGGATGGACTGGTAGTAATTGCACTCAAGGTAAATTACTTTACAGTACAATTGACAATCCGACAAATTTAATTTGTTGTGCACTATATAAAAATTTCATTAGCACATCAACGTACTAATGTATTATTTTTAGCTATTTAAAATTGCCTTAGGGTCTTGCACGAAATGCGAATAATTTTATGAATTTATTATCCTTCCTTTTTACTTTTAGTTAATTACTGTGATCCTAACCCGTGCCAAAATGGGGCACAGTGTACGAATAATTTACAAGGATACAATTGCAATTGTTCTACAGAATGGAAAGGCTTCAATTGCTCACAATGTAATGGGTGATTCGTTGTTGTTAAAATATAAATTAAATAGCTGAGTAGCAATTAACAAGATTATGGGCCCTCGAAAGTAGTTAAAAATATAACAACACTTGATAGTTATTGTGTAATACTATTGCACGAAATAGTCATATTATTAAGAATCAAGGTTTACTCAGTTTAAGTAAGCTATTACTCTATTCATTGTTTGATACGTACGTGTAGCTGTATATAACTGGCAGGAAGGAGATTTAAGGCTAGTGGATGGTTCTTCAAGCAATAAAGGACGATTAGAAATTTATCATAATAATCAATGGGGTACGATATGTCATGATGGTTTCGGTGTAAGCGATGGACGTGTCGCATGCCGTCAACTTGGATATACAGGATTCGTCAAATATCAATGTTGTGGGAATCTCGGAGGTCAAGGGACAGGACCAATCTGGTTAGAAGGAATATCATGTAGTGGGAACGAATATAATATTCTAGATTGCGGTAATAAGGGTTGGAGTAACACAGATTGTGACCACAAAGAAGATATTGGTGTTGAATGTCAAGGTAATTTCGTAATTGATCATAATCAATAAATCTAATCTATTATTGCACAATGTGTATTCGTATATGACAGTTTTCTATTTGGCAGCTTACGAATACTTTACACATACTGTTTTTGTAATGTACAATAACTGTTATGCAACTGTCTATTATTTATTGGATTTCATGTTAACATTTAAGTCAATATACGATATACAGTTAGATGCTAAATACAACGTCAATCTATACGTATAAGTGATTAATTTATTAGATATTTTATCAGTAGTCAAAACGTTACGAGAGAATTTCGTAACATGTATTAAGAGTGCATTACTGTTCGATCTATTAATTTATTATGCAATATCGTCTCGTTGAAGCTAATACGATTACTTATAACGAAATTGGATAAATTATTTTATTAAATCAATATTTAAATAATAATGCTATAAATACAGTATGATATTGCAGTCTATTCAATAATTTATTATGTTATATATTAAGAATATTATATGAATGCAAAGACTCTTTCCTCATTGGTTTCAAAATAACATACAAGTGATTTTACTACTTACATATGGTATATTGTTTATAGATCCCAGTGTGTGTATTACCGCTAATCCATGTGTAAATGGAAAATGCCGATTAACTGCAAGTGGACATACATGCTCATGCTATTCAGGATATACAGGACAGAATTGTGATCAAGGTATAAATATATTTAAGAATAAACATTAATAATTGTAGATGTATACGAATACGAATATGATCATCTGTTTATCTTATTATCGCGTCTTAATATATAAACACTCTAAATATGTTTAATAACTTTTTAGTGTGTTAATACGATATAACTAAACTTCGACTCAGAATAGAATTAAATTAATTTACAACTGCTAATGCTATTTTTTATTATTCAATAAATTCATTATAGTAATACAAGATTATTGTAGTATGAACCCATGCGATAATAACGGAACTTGTGTGAATAATAATAATATGGGGTATAATTGTACATGTATGGCTCAATGGACAGGAGTTAATTGTTCCAATGGTATGTATCTATATACGTGCGTATACTCGCGTCTTCTACATTACAGGAATATTACTTACACATGTGTAATATCAATACAATTAATTATACAATGTGAAATACATACACATACTCTATCTTACTGTAATCGATAATAGACAAAATTAATATTTTCTAACTTACTAACGTGTATATAATTATATGTATATATATATATATTCGTATACAGCAATTATAGATTATTGTAACCCTAATCCGTGTAATAACGGAACATGTAAGGGTAATGGTAATGGATATAATTGTACTTGTACAAGTGGATGGACCGGTAACAATTGTACAGAAGGTAAGGGTCCACATACAGTATATATATATACATATACGAATACATAATTAGGATATTATTATTCTCTCTACTTTATGTGAATATAAATATCACGAGTATCAGGTATCAAAGATTAATATAAATGGTATTAGTACAAAAATATCGAGT